CATCATCTTAGTACGCCTTGTTTGAATCTCCCAAGGAAGAGCACAGCAAGAGTAGCAAAAAATTAGATGTCCTTTAGCATACCTCATACGGCGTACATTTAGCCAGGGGAGCCTACAGACTGGGCCAATTAAGATTATATGCCGAGTGACTTACGGATCGAACAGAGTGATAGGGCAGAACACTCATCATGGCCGGCGGCTTGATCGAGCTCATCACTGGCACGGCTTGTACCAATCGATATTGCACTTTAGGACGAGTAATCAGAACAACGTGATGACGGGTCTTTAGGCCTTTCCGTAACAAGTCTGACCTTAAGAGTTGAATTAGTAGCACGAAAACACCTTGAACTCTGAGTTCTCTCTCCTAATCGGCATCATGCTTCAGAATCTTCGTCATCATATAATCGAATCGGACACGCACCGTACATGCAATACTTCCACACGATTGGGAATATAGGAGGCCTAGCAGTAAGTCCATTAATCAACCGCAGAGGACGCTGAAGGTAGTGGGAGATTTTCGGTTACATCCTAAGCCTTTTGTAAGCTCTGCCGTTACCACATGAGGTGACTTAACATATAATTAACATCTCTTGAACTGTTTTATTCTTAGAAAAAATAATATATTTTAAGGCAGAACCTTAGGTATGCTAAAATGTCTGCCCTTCTTTGTTTTCCAGAAACAAATTCGGTCGATCCAAACAATATTATCGAGATTGTATTCCGAAACCAGGTTTTCAGCGAGCTTGTGCCCCGCACATTGTCTATTTTCCTAAGATACTAAGTAGATGCCATATGGTAAATCACCACATGTTAAAATGGATGTTGACTAGGTTGAGAGCCTTTTAAACAGCATTAATGAATGGACTGTTTCGATGGATGTATGAATGAAAATTTCACGGTCGTAAAGCACCTCAAAGTAACAATTCTTTTTAAAATGCAGAACTACCATTTTCAAGTGTACATTTACGGCCGCACGGTAGTTTATATCAAAACTGTATGTACTTATTTCTTTTCCTCATAGAAATCCTAGTTCAGAAGTTCAATTAACATTTCATAAGACAGTCAATCTTCTGTAAATTTCCTTTTGGTAAGAATAATTGATAAAAATATCAGATCCATAGCACCAGTTTCTAGAGGTCCAGTGAACAGATGAAAGTAATACTTCAGTCTGTTAATAAATAAACAAATTTCCCTTAGTGCAACTTTCCTGCTGATGACAGTTCGACGGTACTTAATGATGGTGTCGACTTTCAAATGTTTCAAATGTCTGCATTGTTCCTGGCCGAACCTAGCAGAAACTGACGCAGTTTGATGGAGGGTGGACTAAGACAAGCTCTCCCCTGCTCAAGTCCCCATACATGTACTTACTCCGAATAGTTTTTAGCCCAGATTCACAGTCCCTGCTGCAATCAAAGGAATATTAGTAGACGATCTGTATAGTTCAAACTACAAGCAGGTGCTGCAGTAGGTCTATAAGTAGTCTACGGATGACAAAATTTACGACATAAATGCATGGCAGGACTTGTGCTATTATTTAATAATGCTTTATTTAACCCGTAAGCTAATCATTTTACGCCATACAGACGGGGAGGGCATACTGGGTGCTGAATTGTTAAAACGCACACAGAGGCCGTATTAAGGTAAATTATTTACCGGCCTTAATAAACACAACTAAAATTAGCATGTACTTCTGGCAGCAGTAGCGTAGACCGAACCTAGTAGAAACGTACACAGCCTGATGGATAGAATTAAGAAGGTGGAAACCAAAGCAAGCTTCGCCTTGCTCAGAGCCCCAAAAATGTACGTACTCGGAAAAGTTGAAACCCCAATTCGCATTCCTTGTTGAGCGCAAGGGGATATGAGCCGTAGCGTTTGCTTTGATTAGCGTCACTTCTGACAAATGGTAGCGTCAGTGGTTGTACCAGTACTACTAACAAGCAGCTACACTGCTAGTTACTTGTAGTAGTAGTAGTAGAAATGGTAGTTGCCGTATCCGTCTCGGCCTCCTTGAGCCTGTCTTGACACCTACTGAAGGTAAGTGAGGGTAGATAGTGCGATGTTGTCCGCGCAAACTTTGCTGTCTTTTTAGGCAAAGTAAGGCGGTGTTCCTGGCTTGCCTTGGAGAAGGCGACCAACGCCGTGTCCCGTTTGGTCTCCTTGATCCCAGACGAACGTGAAGATTGCGGTTGACGCTAACTATGTCCATTACCACTATAATCTACCCCCTGAGGCTGCCATCCTTTGTACCAACCTGTTGGTGCACTTGGTGTATTTCATCGAAATCGATGGTCGAACACACACAGGGAGGTTGTTGGAGGCCTAAAGAATTGAAATTATCGATTATTAACCAAATGGAATTTGTGCAGGGGGTAGACGAGTTGAAAGGATAAGCAGGATGAGCTAAATTTCCCTCATGAATAGACCCATACTGCTCGCGGTAGCCACGGGATGTTCGAGTTTTCGTCAAATATATTTGTTGCCACCCTAAAATCCTAACCGTAAACTGGGCGACTGGTCAATTAGTCACAAGGCACATAAGAACAAGTGAATGACTCCCGTAACAGACCAGTGAGCGCCAAGGCGGGTAAAATTTTATTCAGGCAAAACTTTCAAAAACTCGAAGAAGTAACTGTACGAAACTATTTAACCTTCGTGACTAACACAATCTCCTCAACGTTTGCTTAGCCAGTCCCCAGCGTCGCTACACGCTTTGTTCGGTCTAGCCGGAGGTATTAAGCCAGTCCATTATCAGTGCCAAGACCGCTGTCTGCTCTTGAATTCGCCTACCAGGCCTTGCGTACTCGTGCTTGGCGAAATGCACCGCACGCTCTTGCTGCTCCTGTCTTGTCTGCCTCACGCTGTCAATCGGTTCGTAGCCAATCAGTGTGCACCATTTCACTGATTTGCTGCAAGAGACAGATCACATTCCCCTCGGGGTCCTCTAATCCCGCACGCGGATACAAGAAAACAACTGGCCTGAGAAGGCTGTGGATAACACTTTCTGTAGAGCCTTTTTAGAGGCTGTTCCACACAGTAAATACTGTCCAAACTTATTAGTATTCACTGTCATTTGATTTGGAAAACAGTTTGTTGTCGACTGCGCAACCTTCAAAATAGTCTCCTACACACGTTACAGGTAGTTCAAACTTGAAAACTGTCAGAATTCCGGGTAAGAATTAAAGTTCATCTTCTGCTCACTGGAATAAATTTGTAAGCTTTCTGACGCTTGAGGCATGGTAGTCAGACGCCAACTCTGTCAAAAGGCATCTGAAATTCCCTGCGGCCTACAAAGTCCTACGCCATTACGTAAGTAAGCAAAAGTTTTACTTAGTAAAAAATGGTTACTTTATTAGTACGCATTTTTTTCTCATCGATTTTCACTTTTTTTTATAAATTAGAGTATATCTTATAAAAGAAATGCAGAAAATATTCTTTCCTGTACTCGTATGGTAGCAAATGGCGCTTCCTTCAGATTTTATACTTGAAGGAAGGACACATTTTATAATTATGAGGTATTTACGACTGTAAAATGTACGAATTATCTACGCATTACTTAGTTCTGCTTATAAATTATACCCCCTGGTCCACATCCATTACAACAATTCATAAGAACTATGTGAGTTCTAACTTACGCTGAAAGGAAATTTGTATTTTTCTTTACACGGAATACGTACAGAATATAGTTTGGCAACCTTAAATTCAAGTGTAAAGGG